TTCATTTCTGTGGTATTTTGTTAAGAAGCTTGTAAACAATAGCTACAATGTTTTGGTATCACTATTATCTACCATCCATAGTGATATACGTAGAGTTATGATTTTGTTTTTGTTGGCAAACTTTGGACTTTATCTAGTTTCGACATAAACTATTCCCTCATTTTCTCTTTACATTTGTTGGGAAGGGGGCTCTGGCTATTGCAAGTTTGGCTGGAGCAAATACCCATGTCCATCGGGCCAGTCAGCAACTTTTTTGGTGAGATGTATATTTCAGCTCACAGTCAAGAAGTTATTTTGCATATAACTTCCATTCCACATGATTGTTAGATTGTTTCAATCTATCTTTCACTTTTAATTCCATATTTTGGGTTTTTCTTGCCATGTCTATCACTACAATGTTCTGGAATAATACGACTTGCAGGAATTTGGTAATGTTGAGTCGCCGATGCACTCTAGACTCCGCCATTTTTTTGTGACTATTTATAGCAGGTGTGCTATTCTATCATTTTAGTTTTCATTATTTTGATGTATTAGTCAAGCAACGTCATAGTTAAAGAAGCTTGTGGCTGTTCTTCTTGATGCAATCCTCTTTCTCTTAGTTAGTTACATATATTTCTTTATTCAATCTGCATGTTCAGTGACTTAAATACAAGTGAGCACATTTAAGATACTTTTCTGCTAAAATTTCATTTTAAAAGTATAGAAGAAACTGCACTGCCTTCATTATCATGTGGAACACTGGTTTACATCGATGCCTTTGATTCTTAGATAGCAGGTATAGCTGATATGTGATTGTGTTTCTTCTTAGGATGCAGGTGAAACCATCTTTGCAGCCCGTGGTTTTGTCTATACCTATTTGCCATTATGATGGTGAGTTGCTACCCTAGAGTTTTGGATTGGTTGCATCAATTCTCTTTGTCTTGTTATCCTTCACAAGGTATTGTCTTCATCCTCCTAATGTGCTATTTTTTCCTTATTTTTGTTCTAGATACTGAATCTGCTAAAGCATCGAGACGGCAACTCAAAGAAGCCATATACAAAGTACTTTTTGACATGAATGTCCCTGCTGTCTGTGCTATTAATCAGGTAAACCGTCCTCCTTCCCCTCCATAATAATATGTGTTGTCCATAGACCATATGGAAGAAGGGACCTAATGCGTTGCAATCATGCAAAGTTGTCACGTCATCTGGAACTGCATCTCTCAGTGTATAAATGGTTTATTTGAGTCTCGGTCCAGTATTCATTGTCTGCTTTTGAAACTGTAGGCAACTTTAGCTTTGTATGCAGCAAGAAGAACTTCAGGGATTGTTGTAAACATCGGTTTCCAAGTCACTTCTATTGTTCCAAGTAAGCTATCCTATGTTCCATCTTCCTCATGATTTCAGAATTATTAACTGCTGAAAAAAAGATTTCTGGTCACACTTGATGCTTTCGTAGGGACTGTGCATAGTTTCTCATTTACAACACACTTTACAATTGTGTTGTAAATTTTTTTTCTTCACAGTTACTCAAATGTTGGTTTACATCTCATTTTTTAGCTGGCAATCTGGCATTATGTGACTTGTAGTTCTAGGCATGCTTTTTTACTTTTACTTCTTTAGATATTCTCTAGAAAAATTCTTCCACTATTTTTGTTAAGAATCTTCCACAGTACTTTACAGTTCCAATAAATATTTTTCTTTCTTTGTTTGTGTTGATGCTTTTTTTTTTTTTTTTTTTTTTTTTTAATTTTCTTTTTACACTTTTGGTTGCTTGGGACTCTTGAAATTTTGTACTTAAAGCGATACTATTGTGTTTACAGTTCTAAATGGTAAAGTAATGCGCAAGGTGGGTGTGGAGGTTATGGGATTGGGAGCCCTGAGGCTTACAGGGTTCCTTAGGGAGCTATTGCACAGGAACAATATCAATTTTGACTCATTGTACACTGTTCGGACTGTGAAAGAGGTATAGCTGTTATCCTTTCATGGTGCAGGCTGTGGTCATTGAATTTTTATCGGTATAGAATACTGTCCATCAGTGTAAATGCACATTAACCAGTAGCATGCCACAATTCTTTATAAGAGGATATTTTTCCAGTTCTAGTTTTTGTTCTTTCTTCTCATGTCATAGTCGTATAGGGAAGTTTATTGGTCGAATGATAAATAGGAAGTTACCAAGTGAGCTCAACACCATGGGGCAAGAAGTTCAGTTTGCCCCATGGTTTACTGGTTGAAATATTGAATTGTGGAAGCTTAGAAACAAAGTGTATTCGTTAGTATGGTAAATCATGGAAGAAAGAATTTTCAATTTCATGTCTCATTGGTTGACTTTATTCAGAAACTATGTTATGTTGCTGAGGACTATGAAGCTGAGCTATCTAAAAATACACAAGCTTCATTTGTATGTGGTGGAGAAGAATGTTTTACTGTTTCAAAAGAGCGGTTTCAAACAGGAGAGATCTTATTCCAGCCACAGCTTGCAGGACTGTAAGTACCACTGGAAAGTTTTAGATTTATTGCTCTCTGTTTTTCTCTCCTCATCTCCCTTTCCCCATTTTTAGAACTAGTAAATTCTCTAGCACCCATTTCATAAGCAAGTATCAACTCTGTGTTGTATTCATCAAATTAGTGCCTATGGTTGGTTCAGTGCTGATCTCGAGCATGTTGTGTAAAATCGTTGATAATCTTTTATGTCCAGATTTCACCAATAGCTTATTAGGAATACAGAACTTCAAGGGGAAATTTTATTTGAAACTTATAGTATCATATTTTGTATAGGGGTACCATGAGTTTGCATCAGGCTGTTGCTCTTTGTATGGAACATTGCCATTTGGCAGAACTAACAGGAGACAATGCTTGGTTCAAGACAGTAGTTTTGTCAGGAGGCACTGCATGTTTACCAGGACTCGCAGGCATCATTCAAATACAAGAAACTTTTCCGTGTCTCTTTTTATAATGGAATATGCATTTGAAATCTTACTAACAAACTCTTATCTTTTATCTTTCGATATTTTTATATTCAGGAAGGTTAGAGAAGGAATTACATGGAGTTCTCCCTCCATTTCTGTCTGATGGAATCACAGTCATTCCCCCTCCATATGGTGCAGAAACAGCATGGTTTGGGGCCAAGATCATCAGCAATGTAAGCTCTGTCACTATCTCTATCGAAGTGTTTGGATTTATGACTCAAACATACGACATTTCGTATATTGACATTGCAAAACATCTTCCAAAAACCCCGTGTTTGAAGAACATATAGATTTCGTCGACTATGATCATATAATCTCTTTACAACTTTCATATTGCAAGTCATCCAAGCATTTTCAGTTTCAGAACAATATCACATATCTGGCTTTCTTCAAGTGACTTGTGGAGTAAGTTTTACGGCAGAGCAGAGTTTCACATTTTGTTTGCTATAATTTACCTGGTAATAATGCAGCTGAGCACCTTCCCTGGCCCTTGGTGCATGACAAAGAAGCAGTTCCGGTACAAGTCCAGAATCAAGCTTATGTGGTGAAAAATAATCTGGTTTATGCTCGCACTGCCGACCCCACTTAGTGGGATAAGACTTTTGTGTTCTTCTTGTTGTATACTCGAGCACTGCCATAGCCTGTATGTGATATGATGGTGGACTACACAAGGTTAATTTTCTGATTACTTCCTACACAGAGCAGATAGGTTGTTTTCAAGAACACACCGAAACTGGAATCATTTATTTGTAGCTATAATCGTCCTTGAATCAGTGGACCTCACTTAATGAGATAAGGTTTTGTTGTTATTTGTGTAATCGTCCTTGAATAAGAATTCTATGATGTAGCTAATCTTACAATATTAAAAATAAAGCAAGCTTATATGTCACGTTGAATGTACTTCCTGGGTTTGATATTTATTGCAAGAATATTTCTTTGTTATTTTGACAGGAGAGTGTTTTTGGACTAGTGTCGGGATTTTATACAACAACAAAGCCTTTTTCTACTAAGTGGGGTCGGCTATATGATTCCTAGAACGTCATTGTGCTCGGTTAACGCAATTTCGTTCAGAATTCATTATTATAAGGATTTGACGTAAAATAGGAGTGTTGGTTGTCTACTATTTAACAACAAAGAAGCTTTGTACTTCTATTTTCTTTGATTGATCATATGCTTTACCTTTAAAGTAGGGTAATCAATGAGATGGTGGTGAGCAAAAATGTACTCTAATTTGGAAGATATTCTTATTTTGTTATACCATAAATTTGGACCACACATTAAGGTAAAAATCTACTTAATTCCATAGTACGATAATACAAATACTCTTTTGTTTCCTAACACATTCTGCAAGAGAACATCTTCATTTAAAAGATTAAAAGAAGATCACTTCATGCGTGTGAGGAAATTGTGATGATAAACCCTTTTTTAGCAGGTCGAAAATTTTGAGTTTGATTCTTATAAGTAGGAATCAAACTAACACAGTAGGTCGGCAAAATTCAAGCCTAATAGAGTGATTTCAAATTTCAATTGTTGAGTTTAACATGCGAGTTTTACGAGTTTGGTTTTTAGAAAATATGATTATTAAAATTGTTACACTCACACCGCTACAAAAACAATGTCACGGGAAACAAATGCAAGCGCATAAAAATTACTGGGGAAGGGTTAAGGATATGCTTTCATTGCTACTTCAAGTAAGAATGTATGCCAAAAGCAAGTTTGAAGAAAGAACGAGTAGATGGAGTAGTATGGTGAAAGGGGATTCCGTAGACTACAAGTAAAGGAAATGAGAAGTTATGAACGAAAGCAAAAGAAAGCAAAAGCATTATTCCTTCAATTTCAGTCCGGATTTCTTAGCGAGCCATCTCTCATCTCTCTGCTTCCATACTTCCATTCCATGTAAGTGCTTTTTTGAGATGCGAAATCTATTTAATTTTGCATAATTTACATTTGAAATAATATGCTTGAATTCTTGCTTATTCAAATTTGCATCCTAAAGAAGTACTTGGAAGTTCTTCTTGAAGAAGCATTTGTCATGTGTTTCTTCATAAACAACTTCTATGACCCGTAAGCACTTTTAACTCTCCTTCCACAAGCAGCCAAAGACTTGTCATTGAAATGTTTTTGACCTAAAACAAGCTAAAGGCATTTCTAACTATAAAAATTGTTCGATGTCTTTATAACAAAAACACAGTAGAAGCGCTTATAAACATAAGATTTTTCTAGAAAAGCAATCCTAAATGGCTCGCACAATCAAAAACGTTTTTTTTATTGTCTAAAACGCTTTTAATTCTTTTCGAAACAATCACAATCCAAAACATGCCCTCCTCATATTATGAAAATTTTGCACATTCTAAACTACCCTATTCCGATATGCCAGTGCCCAAATTGTCTTTAAACATTCTTGAAGCGTTTTTTTCATCAGTCATCACTTACCGCAGCAGCAGCCGCAGACATTTCTCCATCTTGAAGAACAACTCTTGTGTAAATTTTCCTTTTAAAGGTATTGTCTTTTTACTTCATATCCAAATCTGCCTGTCCTTAATATGAATTTATATCTGTGTTTGTCCTTTTTTATTTGTCTTTATTTACTCTCAATTTCGAGGCCAATTTGTTTACTACGCTTAGGACATGTCTCTGAGCTTGTAGCTAGGACATGAACCATAATGTGGGATTCATTAATACTAAAAGCTTTAAGAAAATTCAATGAAAAAAAAAACACTAGAGTTTCTCGAACTTTTCTCTTAACGAGTTCTACTTTTTGCAGTTCGACGGTTGCCATTGCTTAAGCTTCCTCGTAACATTTGCTCACTTGTTCTTGGATGGGTTGCTTCACTCTTTCAATCTAGATACCTTCATTTCTCCTGAAGAAGCTGTTAATATACTGTCCTGAGGAACAACAAGCAAGCCTTGTGTGAATTTTCCTTTGAAGGTATTGGCTTTTTACTCCATATCCAAATCTACATGTCCTTACTATGAATTTATATTTGTATTTCGTCCTTTTTTTTATTTGCTTTTCTCTGTTTACTCTTTGTGCTGGATTCTTTGGTCCATTTGCATTCCTGATGTTAAACCCGAAATCCATTGGGAATTTGAGAATTCATACAATTTGGGATCATTGATACAACCTTTCATGTAAAGAAAAAAAAATTAATAAAATTGCAGCTTAGTCTAAACCTTTATGGGATTTATTTCTTTGTGCGTGTTAGGAAATTTTGCATTTTCATATGTAATTATAATTTCACAAAAAAAAAAAAAAAAAAAAGCATGTAAATAATGCTATCCAGCTGAAGAGGCATATATATTGTTAGAATTTCAACTCTCCTCTGGATCTTATTCTTTGACATATTAGGTAATGGACAAAACTTCACAGATAGTGAATAACTAGAAACACACAAGATTATACTGGTTCGGTAGAACCTTTGCCTATGTTCAGTTGTGATTTCTCTGGGTAAAGAAACCACGGCTTCTTTGATTACTTATAAAGCGTATAATACTGTTGTAAACCCTAAAACTAATCCCTCTTTTCCCTCAACTGTCTCATTGTTTTCTGCTAGCTTTTTAGCCTTGCCGCACCTTATTTATAAGTATAGTGTGCAATTTACACTCCTATAATCTGATAGGATTCTTAATCTAATTGTACAAGAAAACTTTAAATCATTCCTAATCCTTTTAGGATAAGAATCTATGAACCTTTAGTCTTAAGAAAAATAGGAATTTAACAAATAGACGAACCAAATCCTAACAATCTCCACCTGAGTGAGTCGAACCAAGTCTTAATTATTGCACTCCAAAGTATCTTCAAACCTTCTTGTAGTAGCTATGAAAATCTTCAAAAATCTACACCGTGTGCTACATCTTAATCAATCAACAAGATTGATCAAGTTCAAGCAACGCTTGAATTTCTTGACCAGCACTGTCTTCGTAACGAAATATGCGGCATTAGTGTCCATGTGAACCTTTTCAGCTCAAATCTCCTTGAACTTCACTCAATCCCGAATTTTGTGATACCTCACTTCAATGTGCATTGATCTTCCATGAAAACCTGATTCTTTGCCAAGTAAATGACACTCTAACTATCACATTTCAGCTTAAGATAATCATGAGTGGTTCCCGTTTGGCTTACCAAGCCACAAAACCAAATTACTTCCTTTTCAGCTTTAGCCAAAGCTATGTACTCTACCTTTGTAGTCGACAAAGCTGTAATTGGTTGCAGTAGTGCTCTCCAACTGATTGGTCATCTTGCGCATATAAAAGCATACCAGAAGTTGACATTTTCTTGTCCAGGTCCTCTGCACAGTCAGCATCAACATACCCCAACACTTATGCATTTTCTTTTTGCTTCTCAAACATAATGTCTTGTTGCTAAGAACCTTTCAAGTAACGCATAATCCACTTAACTGCATCCCAGTGTTGCTTTCCTGGATTTGTCATGTGCTTGAAAACAACACTAAGTGCTTGAGCTAGGTCAAGTTGTGTGCATACCATTGCATACATTAGGCGGTCCACGACATTAGCATATGACATTTTTTCTATCACTTGTTTCTCTTTCTTGGACTTAGGACACTATTGCCCACTTAAGTGAGCTGCCAAAGGAGTTGAAACTGCCTTTGCTTTAAGCATGTTGAACTTCTCAAGAACATTTGAATATACTTGGCTTGTGATATCTAGATCCTACCACCGATCATATCTCTTTGAATTTCCATGCCAAGGATCTGTTTGTGCAACACCTAGATCCTTCTTGTAGAACTCCTTGCTCAACATCTTATTCAAGTCTTGAATTCTAGACTTGCCTTAACAAGCAATTAGCATGTTATCCACATATAGCAATTGTAACATATCATCTCGTATTGGAATACATGATACTACACACAACAGTCATATAAGCATCTCCTAAAATTAATTTTTAGTGTAAATGAATCAGTATTGTACCACTGTCTAGGAGATTGCTGGAAGCCATACATGGACTTATTAAGCTGACTTGCTAGGTTCTCTTTCTCATACTCACAAAGCCTTCTGAATGAGCTATGAAAATCGTCTTTTCTAGATCCCTATGAAGAAACGCTTTCTTAACATCCATCTACTCAATCTCTATGCCATGCTACGTTGCCATTGCTAAAAGCAAACTGATAGAAGTATGCTTAACCATAGGTGAAAAGATCTCAGCATAATCCCCCCTCATTATGTATGTATCCTTTGTCCACAAGCCTTGCTTTGAATGTCACAACATCCTATTCATGTAATCCTTCCTTTTTTCTCTAAAATCCACTTGTATCTAACTGGTTTTCTGTCTTTGGGCTTAGGAACCAACTCACAAATAGAATTCTTACAAAGAGACTCCGTTTCTTTTGTCATAGCACTTATCTAACTATCATACTCATCACTTGTTATATCTTCTTCATAAGTAGTTGGATCTCTTTGGCTGAGCTTAAGAGCATAATTAACTTCTTCTTGGTCAAACCTAAACATGTCAAGTTTCTTCTTATTTCGAATGAGTTTGTACAATGCTATATATCTCTGCAATTTAGGTGAATTGTAGGTTGGAGTTCAAACCCTTTGGGCTGTTTGTCGGATGAGAGTGCTTGCAATCTGCCTTGTCTCTTAGTCGAACTGATTCCTACCTGGTCAACGATGTTGATGTTTTTCTTCTTCCCCATAGTTATCAGATTCAAACTAGAGTTTCATCTTCCTCTGATCTAATGAATGGAATTCTTGTTGCTTTATTTTTCAACATCATCCTTCTTCTCTCCACTACTTTTCGCTTTATTCAGAGGCATGCGTGTCTCATTAAAGACAACATCTCGGCTGATAACCTTTTTCTTGTTGACACTTTCTTTCCTATTCCAATTATGTTTCTAAGATTCCGAACCTAATTGCACAAGAAAATTTTAATTTCTTTCATAATCCTTTTAGGACAAGAATCTTTGCACCTTTAGTTTTCACAATCCTAAATATAATAGGACTTTATAAAAAGATGAACCAAATCCCAACAATATATATATATATATATATATATATCATAGATTATATTTAATTGATCATGCTTGCATAAATTATATTATTATGATTATAAGTTACAATGGAAGTAGGCAAGGGCATAACTGCCTCTTGCTCTTAGCAGAAATAAAATGTTACAAACTTATGAGTAAAAAGAAAAGCACACCTAACTTGAACAATTTTGAGGCCAATTCGTATACTATGCTCAGGACAGGTCTCTGAACTTTTAGCTAGGACAAACCATAATGTGGGATTCATTGAATACTAAAAGCTTTATAAAAATTCAATGAAAAGAGAAAACTACAATTTCTCTTACTTTTCTCTTAACAGGTTTCACTTTTTCCAGTTCAACGGTTGCCATTGCTCAAGCTTAACCATAGCATTTGCTTACTTGTTCTTGGATTAGTTGCTTCACTTCACTCTTTCAATCTCGATACCTTCCTTTCTCTTGAAGAAGTTGTTAACATAGACTCTCCTCAAGAAGTTGTTTTCAGAAGCTATGTCACTCGGAGAGGCCTTTATTTCTGGATTCCTTCAAATGCTGCTTGAAAGGTTGACATCACGTGAGACACTGAGCTACTTTAGGCGCTTACTAGGAGTTGGAAAAGAGCTGGACAAATGGAATTCGATGTTGTCAGATATTCGAGCTGTGCTTAATGACGCGGAGGATAAACAATTGACGAGCCAAGCAGTGAAATTGTGGTTAGATGGTCTCAGATGCTTGGCTTATGATGTGGAAGACATATTGGACAAGTTTTCAACCGAAATGTTGCGGCGCCAAATAAAGGAGAAACATTGGGCTACTACAAGCAAGGTATGGTGTTTGTTTTCTGATGTGAAATTTAATTGTAACATGAACTCGGAAATAAAGAAAATTACTGGTCAAATAGATGAGATATTAGAACGGAAAAACCAACTTGGTTTAAATGTGGTGACATCGTCTACTAAGTCATGGCATATGCCACCAAGTTCCTATCTACCAGAAGGACCAGTGATTGGAAGGGATGCAGACAAGAGGAAAATTACTGACTTGCTGTTGAAAGAAGCACCTCATACCGTTAACTTTCATGTAGTTAGCATTGTTGGTATGGCTGGGGTGGGAAAGACAACACTTGCAAGACATGTTTTTTATGATGATGCAATGAAAGATTTTAACCCAAAAATATGGGTATCTGTGTCGGATGACTTCAATCTTGAAAGAGTGACAAAGGCAATTCTTGAATCAGCCACATCTGGTCCGATGGCCGAATTCAAGGAATTCAACAAGGTTCAAGAAAGTTTGAGTAAGGAATTAAGTGGCAAAAAGTTTCTAATTGTTCTAGACGATGTCTGGAATACATGTGTCTATGATTTGTGCACAAAATTACAGTCTCCTTTTCGTGTTGGAGCATTAGGAAGTAAGATAGTTGTGACAACACGTGATGCAAATGTTGCAAAAATGATGGGTTCAACTATCTATCAATTGGATTGCATATCAGATGATCAATGTTGGAAAGTCTTTGAGCATCATTCCCTCTTGGACATTACCAATAATAGGCCGCAAAATTTTGAGTTGGTTAAGAAGAAAATTGTTGCAAAATGCAGCGGATTGCCCTTGGCTGCAAGGACTCTCGGTGGTTTTCTATGCTGTAAACAAGTAGGAGAATGGGAGGAAATCTTAAACAACAAGATGTGAAGTCTATCAGATGATAGTGGCATTCTCCCAGTATTAAAGTTGAGCTATCACTATCTCCCTTTGAGTTTGAAACGATGCTTTGCCTATTGTTCCCTACTTCCGAATGACTATGAATTTGGGGAGAAGCAGTTGATCCTTCTATGGGTTGCAGAGGGTTTGGTTCAACAACGACCAGAGGACAAGAAACAATTTGAAGATACAGGTAATGATTATTTTCAAGAGCTATTGTCTAGGTCGTTATTTCAAAAGGCAAGCAAAGGCAATGACAAATATGTAATGCATGACCTTGTTGGTGAGTTGGCACGGTGGGCTGCAGCTGAAATATGCTTTTCACTGGAGGATAAGGGAAATGATGACTTACAACTTAAACCATTTCCGATGGCTCGTAATATGTCTTATGTCAGTGGTGAGTATGATGGTGTTAAAAAATTTGAGGCCATCTCTAGAGTTAAACATTTGAGGACATTCCTACTACTTTCACAATCTGATGGAAACAATCTAACTCGTAGGGTTACATTTGATCTATTGCCAAAATTGTGAATCTTACGAGTGCTTTCACTGAATGGCTATGAAATAACTGAGCTGGCCAATGCAATTGGTAAATTGTGGAATCTACGGTATCTTGACCTTTCTTACACACAAATAAAGAATTTGCCTACATCAATAACAACTCTTTGCAATTTGCAGACATTGTTATTAGAAAATTGTTATAATTTGAAGGTATTACCTGTAGACATGAGTAATCTAATTACTTTGCGACATCTCCACATTTCCAAAATATATTTGTTGGAAGGAATGCCTCCGCATTTAGGTAGACTGACGAATTTGCAATCCTTGCCGTATTTTGTGGTGGGTAAAGGTAGTGATCAGTCTGGGATAAGAGAGATAGGGTCCCTATTGCATCTTTGATTGACATTGTGCCTCTCAGGATTGGAGAACGTGAAGGACGGTGAGGATGCTAGCAGTGCCAATTTGATAGGCAAGGAAAGGCTTGATTCATTGGAGCTGAAATGGTCTTATTTGAGCAGATCGAGAGAAATGGAGTTGGGCGTGCTTGACATGTTACAACCTCCTAAAAATCTAAAAGAGCTCACCATCCACTGTTATGCTGGATTGAAATTTTCATCGTGGATTAGAGATCCTCTGTTCTCTAACATGGTGCGTGTGAGCTTATACAATTGTACTAATTGTCATCTCTTGCCACCAGTTGGACAGTTGCCTTGCCTTAAAGAACTTTATATCAGTGGAATGTCTGCAGTGGAAGTTGTTGGTCCCGAATTCTATGGAGAAGGTAGCTTGCCCTTTCGAGTGTTAGAGATTCTCAAGTTGTCGGATATGAAGCACTGGGAGAAATGGCTGCCTTTTGATCAGGATATGGAAAGTGGTGTTTTCCCTGGCCTAAAATTTCTTTCAATCCAAATGTGCCCTAAGCCGGGGGGTAAGTTGCCGAAGAAACTTAATTCGTTAACAACACTTGAGATTGTTAGATGCGAGGAATTGGTGGTTGCAATTGCCAACCATGAACAAGTGAGAGAATTAAAGATTGACGGTTGCAAAGCGCCGGTACATTCAACAACTGAGGTTGACTTGAAGTTATTAGAGACCTTGTGCCTCTCAAATATTTTGGAGCTGCGGTTGCAAGCAGGGGGATTTACGAAAGGATTAGGCAAGATTAAGGAGTTGACGATTCTCAGTTGTCAGGAGCTGACGTCTTCATTGAAAAATGAGGATAGATGTTTCCCTCACCTGATTTCTCTTGTTCGTTTGGTTGTTGGAGACAACTCTGCCCTTGTTGAAGATCTTGGAAAAGAATTGGAGGGGTTGCTGAAGGTTCCAATATTAGCTTGTAAGCTTGAATATCTGGAAATAAACAAATGCGAACGTCTTTCGAAGCTGCCAAAGGGGTTGCATCAATTGTCATCTCTTCAGGAGCTTCACATATGGCAATGTTCACGTCTAGTTTCTTTTCCAGATGTTGGCCTGCCACCTTCTCTTAGAGTCTTGAAGATCACGGAATGCGACTCTCTGGTGTATGTTTCAAAATATCAAATTCCCCGAAATCTGAAAAAAATACATATATCGTGGTGTGGAAGTTTGAAATCATTAGTGGAGGAGGAGGAGCTTGTTGGTTCTTCTTCGTCTTCTTTTTCTCTTTCTCTTGAGCACTTGGAGATATCTGTTTGTCCATCTCTGACATCGTTATCATTGAGAGGCCAGCTTTACACGGCGCTTAAGCACCTTGAGATATTCACCAGTGACCAGCTAGAGTTAATAGCACCAGATGGGTTCTTCCGCGACAATGCTCTTTGAATATATTAGTATTGGCAGTTGTCAAAATCTGAAATCCTTGTTAGAGGGCCTATGCCACCTCTCCAATCTTCAAGCTTTTGTGGTTTCCAACTGTGGAAGTCTTGTTTCCAAGCCGAGACTGAGTTGAGGGAGAAGAGCCTCCAATCTTAAAGAGATCAGAATCACCGGCTGCGAAAAATTGGTGGTATTACCGGAAGACATTCACAATCTCGCCTCTCTTCAGGAATTGGAGATTGACTACTTGGAAGGTTTGACTTCCTTTCCCCCCAACCTGACTTCACTTCAAGTTTATGAAGTCAAGAGTTGTAAGAAGCTCTGGGAGTGGGGATTGCACAAACTCACCTCTCTCAAAAAGTTGTTGATCCAAAGTGAAGATCCAGACGTGGTGTCGTTTCCGCCCCACGGGAAGGAGGAGATGCTGCTCCCCAAATCTCTCACTGAGCTCACAGTTTCTGGCTTCCCAAATCTGAAGAAATTCAGCAAGAGCATTCACTTCCTCACCTCTCTTCAGACTCTGAAGCTCCATGATTGCCCAAAGCTAGCATCCATTCCAGAGCAGGGCTTGCCTCTTTCCCTTGAGCAGTTTACGATCGACGAGTGTCCCCTACTAGAAGAGAGATGTCAACCTGGAAAAGGACGATACTGGCCCAAAATATCCCACATTCCTTGCCTGGACATATAGATCATACGACGGTCTGAAGCTCCAGGTACTTCTAGTTTCAAACAACATTTTAATGCCATTTAATTCAAAATATCCAAAACGTGCTAAAAACATGGCATGTAATACATTTACAACTTTCATGTTGCAAGTTTTCCATATACTATTTCAACATTATCCGGTCATATCGATCTTTCTCCATGCAGCTGATCGAGCGGCCTGGTCCTTGGTGCGTACGTGCGTGACACATGACATGAACCAGTTCTGGCACAAGTCCAGAATCGAGCTTATGAAGGCACTATGGGTAAGTAACTTTCTGATAACCTCCTCCCACAGAGAGAAGAAAGAGGAACATGCATAAACTGGAAGCACATTTATCATTGCATATGATATAATTTGTGATCGTCCCAGAATATATATGTAAGAATTCTATCATGTACCAGATCTTTCAATAAATTGTGAATATATACAGCTATCTTATATTTCACGATCATGAATGAATCGAATATTTTACGAGTCTTTCGTGTCGTGGTAAATGCTCTTACTAATTTGTGCTAAAAGCTCGTTTGCATGTAGGGAGTATTGCTATTTTTTGCGGTTTCATCAATGACCAACAATCTATGAACCTTGTCCCACATGTTGTAGATTTCTTTGTGCCTGCTATGATGAATAGTCCCCGCTACAAACTCATGGACGACGCCATCTATTTCGATTAAGCTCATCCCACAAGTAGTCTCCAAATCGTTGTCTCCGATGAGCTTCTGAATTTCAGTTGCACTTTCCTTTTCTCCAGTATTGGCAAACATAATCCCTGCTAGTTTGTATCTGTCACCAGACATTGGTTCCAGTTCAGTCAAGTGCTTGAATGCAAGGTTCCCTCTCCTCAGGTCACCATGCGTCCGACAAGCGCCAAGCAACGCACCCCAGATAACTGAATTGGGGTTTTCCGGCATTGACATGATGAGCTCTTCCGCCTCTTCTAGCCGCCCGGCACGGCCGAGAAGGTCTACCATGCATCCATAATGTTCAATGGATGGTCTTATCCCATAGTCATGCACCATTTTGTAAAAGTACTCGTATCCCATTTCGACACGCCCGGCATGGGAACAAGCAGATAGAATAGCCACAAAAATGACTTCGTTCGGATACATTCCGTTCGCAACCATTTCATCAAACAGTTCGAAACATTTCTCGGCATCCCCATGTATGGCAAAACCAGAAATCATAGCTCCCCAAGTAACTGCATCTTTTTGTGACATCTTCCGAAAGATTTCGTAACCGTGTTCAATGCTGCCACATTTGGCATACATGTCTATGAGAGCAGTGCCAAGAGTCACACTAATCTTAGCCCCGATTTTATCAGCATATGTATGTATCCATTTCCCTTGATCTAGAGCTCCCAAATGAGCACAGGCAGACAATGAGCTCACTAGTGTCGATTCGTTTGCAGAAACCTTCAAAATCATCGTCATTTTTCGGAAAATCCCTAATGCATCTGCATACATACCGTTCTTTGTGTACCCTCCTATCATTGCGCTCCAAGATGCATCATCTTTTGCCACCATGTTATCAAACATTGCCCTAGCCTTCTCTACTTGACCCCATCTAAGGTAACCAGAAATTAAGGAGTTCTTTGCAAGCGTGTTTTCCTCAGAGAACCCTGCGAGTACTTGTTCTGCGCTAACCAAACTGTCTGTTGAACTCGAGTACATGTGTATTAGTGAGCTGTGAACGTGATTATCCATAGCTACGCCGGCCTTAACTATCCGGCAATGCACTTGTCTGCCTTCAAAGAGTGCATTCAGTTGGGAACATGCTTTAAGAACAAAGGTGTAAGTGTAATTGTCTGGTTTCAATCTATCTAGTAAAAGTTTGTTATACAATAACAACGAGTGATATGGGGACTTAACCAAAATTAATCCTCTGATCATGTTGTTGTAGGCAAATACATCAGGATAAGATATTCTATCGAAAATCGACAAGGCGTGGTGAATTTGCGAGACTATCACATAGGACTGGAGAAGCCTACCGGCATTTAGAGGGCGGTCAAGGAGGCCGGATACAACCAACTGAGCATGCACCTGTCTCACTTCTTGGAAGTTGCAGCACATTTGAAGCAAAACCAGAGTGGTTGGCATTCTCACTGTGACTTTCGGAGAGAAGGATGGCAGGTTGTTATGATTGGGAAGAGACGGAGGAGCGAGAGCAGCCATGTAAGGCCGCAGCGAGCGAAATGGGAGCAGCCTAAACTGGGAAAACACGGTTGTAGGATGTAATGCTAATGGTTATTGCAGAGGCACCTTAGAGTTATGCAAATATTTCGAGCCACAGAAACCAAAAAAAGTCCAAAGCAAACAGATAATATGAAGATAATTGCACTTGGGTGGTCCACACATTACAAAATCCAGCTCATTTCACACAGATCATTCAACGCGCATATTATAGCTGTCAAGGTATTGCACAAAAGGACTTACAAATATTACAAATTACAAATGCCACCCACAGAGTGATAATATTTAATTTAATTAAATGGAAAGTATCTTATAGCTCTAGCACTTGCGGAAGAAACATGGATGGAAACCTGATGAATGAAAAAATTGTAAATTTTCTCACGCCATAAGAATATACTAAGTGGCGGAAAATGGTCAGGAAATTCATAGTAACCGGAACAACAACGCTAGGATGCCGGCGGTTAGCATTAGCAACGGAGATGGGTAGCGTGTGGTATGAGCCCCATTTACATCCTTGGCCACCTGCGTAGATGGTGGTAAGGCAGGGCATTCCAGACCTTCCTTTCCGTCGTGGCACTCATTGGCGAAAAGTCCAGGTGGGTACTTTCCGTAGAGGTTAATGTAGCTGAACATAATTGAAGCGCATTCGTTTGTCAAGTCATTAAGCACATCTGCATAAGGGCAAGCCAATTCCTTGAATGCATCACAACACTGTTTAGCAGGGTATTGGGGTCCCTTGCATTGGCTTGTGATAGTAGTGTAGTTCAAAAACTCAAAGTTCACTGGACAACCTGCAGATAGCAGAAGCCAAAATTTCAACTGACTAAGTTATTTACTTCCTATATAGATCTACCAAAAGAAAATGGGTCCAAACAAGCGTTAAGTTTCTATGTGATGCAGAACCGAAAAGAGACTTGGTGTGACAACATAAGCTACCAAGTTCATATATCAAAACCCAACTTCTCTTTTTTATGATCCATCCTAAACAAGCTTCTATCCTTCGAGGTCTCTCAAAGGAACAAAACATAAGCTCCTTCTACCTATAATTCCCAAATCAATGGAAAAAGTAGAGAGGGGCACCAAATAGCAACACGACTTTTCAACTATCATACGGAATATTGGGCAATTCAATGGTACAAAAAGCTTCAAAGAGAAGACAATACACACAGCACAATCAAGTTGCAGAATGCTTATGCATCGATTTCTTGGCTTCAAATTGAAGCCCGATCTAAAGCTCCTCTATTTTCTTTTTCCTATACGCGCGAGTTAAAAAGTAAACTAAATATCAGCATATCAAATCCTATGTAAGCAGATATATGATGAACCATCAACCACCTGCTGCATACTAAATTTTGATTTCATTTCGTCAATTAATTTCTCAAAACAAGTTTGATGTGGACTTAACAAACCCAAAACTCAGATTATAGAAAAGATAAGTCCTTGATTACTAGTGGGGTTATCCTAATTAAGCCCAATCCATCATCCTCCATTAACAGATTATAGCTCACAAACAACACACACACTCGATACGCTTTCATCCCCCAACTCAGTAAAATTGAAGCCAGAAAAATCAATCAAATGGGCATTTTCCAAAAGTAGAAACAATCGCTTCTCCACCTTTTAGCACTGCATTTCAATCTCTAGAGTAAAAAATTTATGATATCAACAAAGAAAGAACATATTTTTCAGAAAAGGGTGTGAAGGAAATAACCTTTCTTGGCCTGCAGCAAGTGCCGGCCGACAGAAGCCTGAGAGTCAAAGACACCATCTGCAGCCACACACACAGAAATCAAAAAGTTCAGAGCTTTGCCGAATCTAAGCTTATTTGAATCAAAACCCAGCAAAATTACAACATATAAATACATATGTAGAATTTTAGATGTGGGCAAGTACCTGAAATGAAAGTTGGAGAGGAAGAAGAAGCAGGAAGACCCAGAAGGAGGAAGAGGAAAACAATGGAAAAGCAGAAGCAGAAGCTCTGATTAAACGCCATACTTTCTGGGTTTTCGGAGAGCACAAATGGGAACCCAAGTCGGAGATCTTTGATCTCTCTTTATTTGCCTCAGAATTTAGAAAAAGTCACAGTTGATTGAAAACGTGGACTAATGGAGTACAGCGGGTAATGCGGTAACTGGCTTTCTTCAGTATAAAATTTTGCACAAGTAATGTCGGGATGATAAAATTTTGGAATAAAGAACATAAAAATTGATGATTGATTTTTTACTTGAACGGTTATAAACATGCTCATTTCTACCTATCATATTATTAAATTTATAAATTTTATCTTTAAATTTAATTTCTTTAGTATTACTCTTTTGGACAACCAACGTATTTTATCCCTTGTATTTGTTTTTCATATTTCATATTACCTTATTTCGTCAATTGAATTTAAAACAACATTAGTCATAAAAGATTAAAAAAAAAAAAAAAACTAATGAAAAGAGTTTGAAAATTTTGAGTTTTAACACAAAATAAAAGGTAAAGTGAATAATATCAAGTTTGACTTTTTAGTGTAAATATATAATTTTTCATTAAAATAAATAATATCGGAAATTTTTCGTTAAAACTCCTAAAGATTAAAAGCCTAGAGTGCATGTCTTGTAGCTAATCCTAAGCATTTTTTTTTATTTTATTGATTTCGGCCAATGTTTATTTTTGTTTTTTTAATTTTTAAACAAGACAATGTACTAAACTATTTTAATTTTTGAAAAAATAAGATTTGAATTTGGTGCAAAGGCGGACACGTTACTCTGACATATTGCCAATTCCCATTCGATTTTTAATAGTGGGTTCGGGGTAATGGGCAATGTTGTCTATCTCCAATGCCTTTATCTTAATAGAATTGCGCATTAGCTCGACCATTTCCAACCAAAATCCTGCTGTCACCACAAAGATATGGTCCACCATAGTCAGTTCCTTGTCACTACATTTGATATAATTATTGGATAAGGATTTTCTGCCTTTCTACTTTTGATGATCTTTTGTGTTTTTCTGTTTTGTGTGATCACGGTTAAGTCACGTTTACCTTTTATATTATTTTTTTTATAGAGATAATAAGACAAATGAATACTAATATAAAATGTTGACGTGGTTTAATCATGATTACACAAACAGAAAAGCACGAAAGGACACCAAAAGTGGAAAGGCAGACAATCTGTATCTATAATTATTATGTTCGGTGTACAATTCATAAATGCCACCTTCTACAACTTTTTGAGATTGAAACTTTTATGAAACTAATTTACCGTAATCACGATATCGTTTCAAGTTAATAATTGTTCCTATTTCGATCTTTGATCAATGACTTATCGTAAAAAAAAACAGGTTATTTTAGTGCGTGGTGGCGCATGAAGCCGTATGGTGACATGTGGTGGCGCATGCGACGGTGGATGTAGGTTTTTAGACACCGAATTTGGTAGTTTGAGTCTCATTTTTCAATAATCTTCGTAGTTTTCAATTATTTTACCAACTAATGGTTCTTTGCACTTTAAGAGTGGCATGTGAAGATTTCGAAAAGCATGCTGAGCATGACGGTTATGACCATACAATGTATGAGTGAACTTTTGCTTTTAAACTATATTACGTATATGTTTTCAAAATCGATTTTATGTGATGCTTTTATATCGTACTTTGCTTTTACCTAGATTATGCAAATGTTTTATGTGATGAGGAGGATGCGATTAATAATCTTGTGATGATAACTGTAACTGTATTCTCTCACCATGTATTTAGATGTCGTCCATGATCTTGCACTTTCGAGAAAAAGAATAATGCATAAATCAAAGTTCGAAATAAGGTGAGTACTCAAGTATTATCCAACTCAATAAGTATCAAAGATATTACAAAAAATAATTAAATAAATGAATAAGTAATCAACAATTGTGTACTGCAATTAATAAATCAAGGGAAAATTAGAATCCCTTGCATTTTTTTTTAGTATTTTTTAGATCAAATATTGGTTCTATTTCAAAATTTGATTAAGGCGCCTCAAATAATAGTCACCTCAGTATTTTTATATTTATCTAAATACATGTCATTATTGTATTTTTTTTTTAGAATTAAAATGTTAATTATTAAATTCCAAATATATCCTTGTTGGCTGATATTTATTTGTACGTGACCTTTTAATTTTTTGTAGAAAGTAGTTTATGATTTGTTGAATTTGAGAACGTGGATTTCTTCTGCCACGTTTGAATTTGTGTTCTCCCATTTTTTAATTTTGAATGGGTTTATGCAATTCAATTAGTGGTTATTTTCACAATTTCATCTTGTTGTCATGTGAGATAATTAGACGTATATATGATATTATTCTACTACTTCATTCTCGATTTCTGGCGGCTTGAAATTGGTACGTTGAGCAAGTTTCAATAAAATTCTCTACTGCTTCAGATTTATCAAGAGGCTAATACGTTGATTCATCTTCTTATTCTTTCAGTAATTTATGTGAATATAGAATTGCTCTAAATTATTACTTTAGAGAGAAAAGCTATGATCTTTTGCCTTCTAATTTGTCGTTTTAATTTGTGGAGAGTTTTTTCATTCGAAACTTTTTCTAGGGATATGCTTTTTGAGGTTTGAAATTCAAAGAAAAAAAATGATATGTACCTCATTAGTTTTCCAAATTGCAAATAAAGATGATACCCCTTTAGTTTTCAGGTTTGTAGGCACTCTTTCCATTTCGAATAGCGTTAGAATCCCTCCTGAAGTTGCCAATTGCTTTTTTGCAGCTACAAATATGGAAAGAGAAAAATTGGAGGAAGTCAGAGAGCAAAACTTGCCCAGTTGTTTGTGATAAACCAGAATAGTTTGAATCAATTATGCTTGATGTTGTACAATCTTGTGATACTGATGCTGCTTTTAGTACGGATAAGGAGTCCTAGTCTTACATTGAATTGTACTTCGTGTATAATGTACCAAACAATATATGTTATGCACCAATTATATATATATTTTTTAAATAAATATAAACGTACCAAATACGTGTCAAACGATACATGTAATGTACCAATTATATATTTTTTAATAAATATAAACGTACCAAAAATATATATAATGTACCAAACGCAAAGTTTATTAACTAGGTAAATTTGATTTCACAAATCAACCATTGCAACGTGGTGAAGATGTTAGGTTGTTGCTCGGACGGAAGTGCCCTTACTAGTTTATGAGTCCATCACAAATGGGACTCTTGCAAGCCATATCCACATTAATAAATGCAATCAGTAGACTCTTGCAAGCCATATCCACATTAAGCAACCGAATCGAACTTGTGTTCTGAAGGTCACGTTCGACATCGAAGTCCCTGAAGTTGAACTCCCGTATGTAGCAGCTATTTGTGCCAAAACAGGGTAGGTTTCCGTTGTTGTCCGAGAGCCTTAGCCCTAACTGGATTATGTTGGTGTTGTCGACGCTGGCCTTCATGAGCTCATATTTGGACGCCAGGGTTAAGGGTGTGTAGGAATCGGAATATTGGAAAACCGTGCCCGGGAATTCAGTGTCTATGGAGAGAAAAGGGTGGTAACGAATCATGGACTGAATTAGAGAAAACTCGGTTTCCAAATTCTGTTGCCAAATGCGTCGAATCTCGACGTTCTTCATCGTCCATGGTATTAGGGTTTCTGTAGAATGTTTCTTGGAATGATGTTGAATGATGTTATGCTCTAATGAGGCCGGCTATAATGATATATATATAGAGAGGAAGTTTATACTCCAAATCCAAGTGCAATTAGGAAATATGGTCTCTAGCTATTTCCAACTGACCGACTTTATTTCCAAGAGAAAGTAGGAAACCCTAGCTGAAAAGGGATAGTGTTACTGCGTTACTAAGTATAAAGGATTCCAGTCCTAAGTAATCTAATCCAATTCAATTAGTCACCAAACATGACCTAAATGTCTTGCAATCGTTTCCTTTTTCAAACATCCAAACATCTTTGTTTTTCTTTCTTTCTTATGTACATTAACAGGAATCGAACTCTGAGCGAATCTTAATATTAACCCACGAATATGAACTAACCTTAATCTTAATGGAACGCTGAATTGATCTTAATATTAACCCACTAATATGAACTAATCTTAATTTTAATTGAACGCTGAACTATTCTTAATGTTAAAATCGAGGCTTTTCACCGAAAAAAAAAACAAGATGTTACTACCACTCCAAAATGATCATCCAGCCCTCCATATGCAAATTTTTCGCTCGTGTTTTTTATAGAGTGCATACGATAATTTTGGGGCTCTACTAGAAAAAACACCTGGTGATCCTGTCTAGGTTGTTCTTCAAGCCTAGCCTTTGCATGTGAATACAATTAACATGGAGGAAATTCTACTGATATCAGTGTGTTTCATTATATACATTGCAACGGATCTGGTCTTAAGGTGCAGAGACCTTCAATTTTCTCCAAAAGTGAAAAACAATCAATGCCGAATTGTACAAAATTGTACAAGATTTCATTAATTCCTTTTTTTCTGTTCATCTCTGCACTTTTATGTCTCAAAGCCGCAGAAGGTTACACAGTTCATATCGCTTTGATTGAGAGGCAATTTCAAAAAAAAAAAATGAAAAGAGGGGGGCCTTTTCTGCATCATACTTCTTTAACCACACGTGTAGCCTTTCCTGCCATGAGTCGTTACCTATTCAACAAAACGGTCTCTTTCGCTGCGTCAAGAAGAGCGTCACCATTGTCAGATTTGGCTCAACAAAATGAAACGATACGAAATGAACATTAGCTCATTGATTGTAGCTAGCTATAACTATTTGCTTTTCTACCTTGTTATTGATCATTTGTCGATGATAAAATTCCACATAAAAGACTTTCCTAATACTAGTAAAGGCTTAATTTGTAACCCGAAAATAAAAGTCGCTTGATTTAGACAGAAATTTAACCACGGAAGTTGAAGTTGTTGCAGATAGACTTACATGAAATTTAGATTCCTGTAGATTTTCCAACAACCTAGCAATCTCTAGTTGCTTTACAACTGCAGCGTGCAGCACCTGTAGCGACAACATTGAAATTAAAATATTGTTACCTGTGCAATTAAAAGATCAATAATCAAATGGCTAAAAGCATTCAAACATAACATACTCCTTTTGTTTGCTCGAGATCATATTCAACAGACTTAATCCTGTCCATCGAGTCCATCAGCATTCGCTCCTTTTCTAAAGGAATTGCAGCAGGCTTGTTGTTAAGCTCCTCACATACTTTTTCTAGTTGCTGAAGACGCTGTAAACACGGGCGGACATAGTCTTCTTGACTCACAACTTCAGGGGCTGGTAAATGACCATTCGCGTTGCTTTCTACCAAATTCGATGGGTAAATGGTGTTCTGCCTTCTCCAAAATTCAAATTGTAGAATATGAGAAAATGGTATTACTCTGATCAGGAAAGATATCAGCTTTCTTGCCACACGAGTGAAGTCAGTCTTCTCAATTTTGTCCTCAGCTGCGTCAAACCTAACTGAACTACCTGAAAAGACGCATGAACTTAGGATATAAGCTGAAAGGTAAGATTGAAAAGGGAACAATAGCTAATAGTTGAAATATATAAGCAGTGGTAAATGCATTTTTTACATTTATAGAAGTAGAAAAAAGATTTTAGAAAAGAAAAATAACTGGAAATAAGATTATAATGTGTTCACCTTCTGAATTTAATGTTGCTTCATGAGAAACATTCTGATCCTGATGACGTTGAACTCCTTGATCGCTTGTTCTGGCTTTCTCAACCGGGGGAAGATCATCACAGCTGTAGAATGCATTTGGATCTGATGCCTTGACGTGTGAAAGACAGATTAATCAATACGCACACCAACAGATGCAGTACACTTTTGAACCAAACAAATCACAAAGAAAATTAATCTTGAAGCTCACTTCTTCATCAACTGCGTCCAAAGGAGGAAATGCAGAACTCCTTCGTCCAAGTGAAGAACAAGGATCGTCAATATCTGACCCTGATTCTACAACTGATGTATCGCTTGTTCTACCCTGATAAAACACACAAAGAATAAAAGAATAAGTATGGGCCACCTTCTCTGAAACAGTAATACATCAAGTACTACAAATAATATTTCTGAACTAACCTTCAGTGGGTGTAATTGAATATATGAATCAAATTTCTCCTGTTCACCAGGCACACTAGAAATTTGCCTCACAAATGTTGCTTCAGCAGCATGCAGAAGCTACAAATTAGAGACGCTGGGTTAATCTTCAGTACTTACTTCAATAAAGAGATTGAAGCCTGAAACCACTAGACTACTCATTAGGGAAAAAAAAAGATGATAACCTTCATTATCTCGATGTCATTCCATGGACCTTTATTAGACCTAAGGCAACCCCCTTCAGCTGAACATGTACATGATCCGCCCAGGAAGTCTGGCAACTGACTGAAAAGAGAAATGTACAGTGAGCTGAAGAGTACTGTCAAGTGTCAATGAAAATATTAGAGAGAGTATTATGGTAAACATACCTTGAATCAATGACTTCCAGTAGTTTAGACAAGGATTTGGGATCCAAAACCTGGATTTAAGATAATTATCAGCAATCAAGGCTGCAGGATAAGGAAATTTAGATGCCACGGGGCCTAGAGCACTATCCTTTACCTGTATCTTTGCAATAGTCTTTACATCAAGAAACTTCTGTGCAGCAGGCCAAAGCATCTTCTTAAAGCCAGGACCAGCATTGACAATGTACATTCGGTGTAGAGTCTGTAAATTGCAAAACAGTTAGACCTATACAGCACTTTATAAAAAAAATATTATTCTTTAAACCCAAATAAAATGAAATCAAAATATTGTCAGGTGATTCCAATACCTCAGGGTAGTAATTGGTGTCTATCTTTGTCATGGCAGACAAAAGATTTGCAGCAGTCCTAGTGAAATTTTTCATGCCCTGTATTTCACATACGATCATTTTTCTAGTTAGAATTCTGGAATTTAGCAATGGCAGTAACAGAAGTACAAATGTGAAGGAAAGACATAAGCATACCAAGCCTTGTACATCCAGTATAGTAGTTGTTGAACATATCTGTCTCTTTGCTGCAATTGAACAAGCAGGGAATTTCTCCTGCAGAGCTCTCTCAAATTCTTGGACATGGTATTTTAAGTATCGCTCTATACAGGTGATTTGCATTAGCCTACTTGGATGAGCTTTTCCCAGTCTCTCAATGTAAACGGGTCTGCCATCTTTATCAACCCCATGGTATCCTTGAGGGTAATATTGCACTACTTCATCAAGCTCTTCAAATTCAAAATCCTTCAAATTTATTAATTTGACAATGAGTTAGAGTTAAATAAAAACAAAAATTTTTGTTGACAGTTTGCATTTCAAACACGCTACAACATTCCAACTGTTAGAGCCCTATTAATATTCAGATAATAATAACTTATCACCAGAGTGGTTTCTTCTCAAAAAAAAAAAAAAAAAAAAAAAAAACTTATCACCAGAGATGACTTTCTCCAGATATGACATTCAGTTTCAAGGTCTTAGATTAATTAAATTTGTGCTTCCAAATTCCAATTAGACGATGTTCCTAGTACACCAAAGAATTATCCTGTCTAAAAGATAATACATCCATATCCATATCATCAGTGACAAAAGATAACCTCATTACCTCCAAAATGGTGTCTGTTCCAAATTCTTTTCTCCATTTAAGCATTTCTTCCCACAACTGGAGTGTTTTTTCAATGTTAAGGTCTCTAGCTTTCAAAAATCTACACGAGAGTCGAACAAATATACCATATAATCCACTATATCTCAATTGGAAACTGAAATTTGGCCACTATGTTATTACCAACAGATATATTGGAGGGATTTGACTGACCTCAACAAAGTATGGTAGTCATCGTGCCTTGCTGGCAACAAGTCCATGTCAAGGAGCCTTTGATGAAACTCCTGCACAACACTCTCCTCTTTCGCATCCCGTACATCTTGTATGGAAACTGATGGAACCCGGTAATCGATTTTCCTTTTTCCTCTTTTTTTAAGAGAATGGGTAAACTTACTGGAAGCATTTATCGCCTTCTTCTTGAGATTACAAATTCTTGACCGTCTTCTTTCCTCTTCAGAAATCTCAAAATCGGACCTTCTCTCTCGGATTTCCTCAAGAGCTCCAAACCCTTCAAGGCCTTCAGCAAACAGATTAACACGCATAACCATCAGAACCACAATATGCAAAGTTTATCTCAAATTTGCATTTGTTTTTTCTAATAAAACAAGCATCACGTTCCCATATTCCCTTCATATGACAGAGTGCATTGTGTAAAATTATTCTCTACCAGAGACAACAAATTCATCTAGCTAACCAGGAAGCATACCCGACATCGACATCTTAGTCCAATGCAGAGGGAAGATTTTCCAAGTCTCTTGGCCCTAAATCTTCAGAGAAAGGAGGCGAATCCACTGCAATCTCTAAAGTATGAAAGTCCCCATATTCTGTCAAAATACAAGCAACTACTTAGGATTCAAATGCAAGAGATTGTAGTATCTTAAATTATACAGAAGTTGAAGCAGCAGAAGTGAAGTGACTGACTTTATATCTAGGACAGAATGTAAAATATGACTATAAATTATTTGACTGCACTCACCCAAAGCGACTTCTCAAAAACAAC